GCTCATATTTTTGTTTTGAGGATTTGTTGGCATAGCATTGCCTTATGGATATTCTTTTCTAGTGGTAAATAGTGATCATTGTGGGAAGTATTGAGAATAATGGTCATCTTCTTGTTACGATGGTGTTGTCTTAAAGATGTTTGAGGAAGAATCACTTGGTGGTGACTTGATGATCCGGTGAGATGAAGGGTCCGAGTTGTCTATCGGCAAGAATGGTATTAAAGGTGTTATGGTGTGATGATTAGCGCTGATGAGCGAAACAATTTGAGATATGATCTGAATATAGTTTGGGGACTATGAGTTGTTTGTTGGGTATTGTTAGTTATGTAATGTGATTGTGCGCCAATTGAGGCAATTGTGATCAGCTTAGTCTTTAAAACCAGAGAGAGGTGTTGCCATATAGGCATCTTTATCTTTTAAAGAGTTAGTAGGTTGTTGTGACTGAGGTCACGGGTCTCGAGTGCACGGTGATTGAGTGTCATTTTATGGTTGGTGTGCCGTGAGCGTCTATACTCTTACCTGATTAGTTTTGGTTAGCAGAGGTATCGTAGTGTACCGTATGCGAGGTTCCAGTGTTGATGGTGTATGACAGTCTGTTAGTAGCGAGGGCGCTTAGGATTGAGTTCGTAGTTCCATACAGGTATCTGGTTGGTTCTTCTCTTTATGTGTAAGGGGTTTAGTTTATCTCAAGTGAGACTAGGTGTCCACAGTTGGGAACGTGTGACAGGGTATCGGTTGTATTCAGGTACGAGTCATTAGTCTCTTGTGAGAGTGGGATCGTTACCCTTCCATTTGTTCTAGTCCTGCAAGGACGTCATTGTCGTAAGTCTTGTTCTCTCTTTCGGAGTTGTGCTCGTCCGTGGGTAGACGGACCTGTGTATGGTTTGTGACGCTGTCAGAGTTCACCGGTAGGTTTGGGTGAATGGGTCGACTCATTCCCACGGAGGGAGGTGTAGTCTTTGGTTTTAGTAGTGTCTGTTCTGAAAGTGGTCTTGATCGGTGGTGTGTGAGACACGAGTTGCCAAATAGGGAATTATGTTTCTGGTGTCTTGTACTAGCGGTGATGGCTAGGGGATGTGTCGTGAACGGCAGCTGAGGATGATTAGGTGATGTGATGTGGGTCATGCACTCGGATGTTTTTATATAGGAACAGTGTCTTGAGGATAAGTGTCGACATCGCCTTAGAATTACGTGATTGGTGAATGTGGCACTCCATTGAGGAATGATGGGATAATTGACTTTGGTTTTGAGGTTTTAAGCATGAGATAGTTGCATTGTGCATTTTGACGAGGTAAGAATTGAATTGAATGATGTTATGGAGTTGTTTACCTGGTATGGGTATTATGAGAAGATTACGAAGCTTTGATGCTGATCAATGATTGAGACATTTGGTGCCTTGTTGTTTTGTTTGTTATGGTTATATGGTTGAGGTATGATTGAGATTATGAGAATAGGTATATGACTGTATAGTTGTTGAAGTTATATGGAGTGATGGATTGATAATGAGTGGATCTCGTTATTGTTTTGTGGACTGTGTGAGATTGTATTTGAGGTGTGGACCTGAGGACAAGAACGACGTCTGTGCTGAGATCAGATCGAGGATGAGTATGGCCTGGCCAACCATTTCTCTTAAATCAATCCCTCTTTAGCACGATGTCGGGTCAAAGGTTAATGATTGTTTAAGTTAACACGAATAGTGAGAGTATAATATTGGGCGTGTGTCAGTGTGATGGGGTGAATTCAGGCGATTTGTCTCGGATGACGAGGTATGCTAGGTGGGACCAAGTGTCCAATCCGTTTGATTATTAAGGATTTTGTTTTGAGGATTTGTGCCCTAGGTGCAAGATAATGCCTTTTACTTATTTAGTGACTAATGTTTATGCAGTCATTGGGAGACTCATTGTTTAATCATCTTGAAGTTATTAAGAATAATGATTATCATATAGTGCGATTAGTAGTCGTTGGTACGGTTATGTGGTGGTGTGGCTACGTATTAGATAGCAAGTGTTTGGTCTGTCAAGGATGTGTAGATTAGAATTGAGATTGATTGAGAGATGGACATGATTCCTTGTTTAGGGTTTAGTGTATCTTTTAAAGGATGTGTTAAGGTTAGATATTATCTTTTCGGTGGTCTGGTGACTGTTCTTTTCTCGGTCTTTAGAGCCTTTTGTGACTGTGTAGAATAGACTGATGTCTGTTTTGAGTCAGGTGTAAGGTCTTGTTAGTCTTGTGTTTTAATGAAGAGAGAGATAGGTAACCACATTAGGTTTTGGTGGCAGTGGTGTGTGATTGACTGGTGACGTCCGGTGTCAAAGGCAATAATGCCAGCGAGTTCATCGTCTCGAGGTTCGAGAGGTATTCTCGGGAAGTGTGTGGTTGTGAGCTTTCTCTATAAAGAGGGTAGATTTCAAGGACGAAATCTCTTTAAGGAGGGTAGTTTGTAACGTGTCCATTTTTCGTCATTTTCCAATTTCTAAAATTTTTCGTTCATGCAAAGACATTTTTGTCTTTTTTCGTTTTGCCTGCCGGACACTGTGGGGTGTACCGGTTATATCCGAGAGTTGGTTGGGACAATTCATTGAGTCCAAGACTCTTTGAAATGCCAAGGTTTCCATTTTTGCATTTTTTTCATTTTGCGGGCCGGACGGTTACATGTGGGACTCGCTACCGAAATTGTTGCATCCAGGGATCTTGGTTGGATTCATTTGCATCATATTTATTTTATTTAATGTGTTTTAAGGTGAATTAATGTGTATAAGTATATATATATATGGTGTATAATGAAACTAAAAATAAAAAGGAAAATAAATTGAATTTTTGGTGAGGTCTACACATCATGTTAAAGATTGAATTAAGAGGCATTTAGGCCTCATTTCTTCCTTCCCTTTCTCTCTCCCCACTGGTTCTCTCTCTCACCCCCTTTATTTTGCTTTTTCTTTTTCTTTTTCAATCAAAACTTTAGAAATTGATTCCTCCTTCAATCTTTGGAATTTTTTAGTGCCGTTTGCGGCAAATTGAAGCCCACGACGAGATCTATAAGTTGATTGGAGCAATTTCGTGTTTGGTGCACTATAGGAGAGTTGGGATCTAGGGCACAAATCGGGGCTTTTTGCTTAAATTGAGGTATGGGTTCTTAATTTATGTTTTTCTTGTTCCTTTAGGAGTTATCTCTCATTAATTGTTGTAAAACATGTTTAATTTTGAGTTATTTGTCTTGAAGAGGATGTAAATGTTGTATATGAAGTTTATGATCATATGTGTTAATTGAATTATATGAAAAACTTACTTATGTGTTAATTTTCTTGTCTAAGTGTTGATTTTTCTATGCCTACTATGTTGTAAACTTGATAGAAGTGATATATGAAAGCATGTGTAATTTTCTTAGAATTTTTGTAAAACATGTTTATTTGTGTTGTATAAAATCCCTTTTTCCCATAGCATTGAAAGCATGAGACAAACATGCATACCAAGCGGCGTGAATGAAGGAAAATGATTTAGAATAAATGAAAAAGAGATTTTTGGGGAAATGTTTTGATTAAATGGATTTTGAGAAAACCCGGTCGCCGTGGAGTCACCAAAGGGCCGGTGTGTTAATGTAATCTAGAGGGAACTAGGGAGATCGCCCTAGCGTGGTTGAGCCATCTGGCCCCAAACGACGCTGTAGGGGTACCAAGGGTCAGGGGTAGTGGTCAATCCTTCTCTCGTATCGCTGCGGAGTCACCAAAGGACGGGTTATATTAACAGTTTGTGAAGCGATGGATGTTTTCTGAAAATGGGGAGTAACATGCATGGCATTGCATTCATGGCACGACATTTGTTTGTTTTAAACTTGAAATTGATATTGTATTTTTCCCCGATTTAGCATGACCCCACTCCCTATTGTTCTATTCATTATTTGGATTCACGGTGCTATAAGAGGTGTGTCTTAGGCACCACCTATTGAGCAATTTGATCACCCTTTTATATTTAACATTTTTCAAGACACGAAGAAGAAGTAGCAAACCACCCCAATCTTAGCTCGGAGTTGGAAAATGTTTCTTTTGCTATCTTTTGTATTTGGGCCTAATTTTGTAAAGTGTTGACTAAAGATGTATTACTTTGCAATAAGTGATATATTTAGGTTCATTTTGTATATGACCATTGGGGAAATGTAATTAAGTTTTAATCACACTAAATCATTTAGTGTATTTTAAGTAACGTGTGGTAAATTATGTTAACAATGTGGTTGTTGTTATTGTATTAGGTGTTGAAATGTATTTAAACATGTACGTGAATGTAGTGGTGTGGGTGGTTGAAGTTGGTGTATCTCGGTTTCCTTTAGACAGTGACATTTTGGGTGAGGATAACCCAACCAGTGGACGTAAAACCCATACGTCGACCGGATGAGCTGAACCAATCGACGCAAATTTCCCACACGTCGACCCGTATCTTAGCAATGAGCATTTCCACTGTACAAGTCTTTAACCAGTCAAGGTGTAGCCTTCCATACGTAGACCGATATCCTGGCAGTGGGCTTTTCCATTATACACGCCCCAAACCAGTTTACATGTAATGTATATACATTGACCGGTTCCTGTTCCATACATTTTTTATTTGGTTTTCCTAATTATTTCTTACCACCTATCTAAAGTTGTGAGAATTTACTTTATGACCCAAATAAAATACATTAATTATATTTTAATTACAAAAATGACGGTTTGGCCCCCGGATTTATACATTAATTATTATGCTACATAAGTAAATAACTAATATGCCCTTTGAGTCTTAAACCATTAGAACTGTGACAAATGACCATTTTGTCTTTGTTGGACTTTAAAAATATAAATTTAACGTGAAAGGACCATGTTACCCTTGGATGATCTAGGGTCAAGCAAGGACCCGCTTAATGATCCAGATCCAGTGGATTTGGGTCATTACAGCAAGTATGTAATTTCCGTTTTGAAATTAAAATAAAAATAAATAAATGCTCGTCACTATGAGACCTGATTATTTATGAACAACTCATTTTATTTATTGTACATCCTTCATTTCCCTTTCCTTCCCATTTATTCAAACACATTTATAGTTAATAAGTACAGAATCAATTCATGATAAGCCCATACAAAGAAGGGAAATGATTGATCATCTACAACCAACTTTAAGAAGAGTGCAGTACTGGAACAAGTTGGAGAGGAGTTTTCTTGTGAACAACTAGCCCATAAGCCTCACTCATGTCCAAATCCTCCTTACTTGCACCACTTGGCAATTCCCAGTTGAACCAGTACAAGAGATTGGCAAGCACATATTCAACTTCTGTGACCCCAAACAATGTCCCAGGACAACCCCTCTTGCCAGCACCAAATGGGATGAATTGGAAGTCATGACCTTTAAAATCAATAGGGTTGTTAACAAATCTCTCTGGCACGAACTCTTCTGGCTTGTCCCATAATTTGGGGTCCCTTTGAATAGCCCATGCATTGATGAATACTCTTGTTTTGGGAGGTATGTCATAACCAGCCAATTTCACACTTGTAGATGATTCTCTAGGGTTTAGGAAAGGAGCAGGGGCATGTAGTCTTAGAGACTCTTTAATGACACATTTCAAGTAATCCATTTGATTGATATCTTCTTCACCCACCTTACACTTCTTTCCCACTACTCTTCTTATCTCTTCTTGGGCTTTCTTTAACAAAGTTGGCTGTTTCACCAGCTCTGCCATTGCCCATTCCATGACTGTTGCAATTGTATCGGTTCCACCAACAAACATATCCTGTAATTGGCAAAAAGAATTAAAAGCTTTAGACACTTCTTAAATATTCATGTTGGTTAATATTTTTATTTTCTTCTTTAGTGTTTTTACATAATATAGTGACAAGTAAACATTTTTACTCATTTGAAGTAATAATATGTTACGACGAATAACTACGAAACAAGAAATAATCGCGAAACATGACAAAAAAATAAGCACAATACATGACATAAAAATGTAGCGTGATTCGCATAAGTTGTGTCTACGACCACAATGAAAATCTGATGAAATGTTTCACTCTGCCAAAATTAAGAAATTACAAGTTTTAGCCCCAAACCCTAACTCTCGTTCTCACTCTCTTTTCTGCAATTTTCAGTACGTGTCTCTCAATATCTCACTTAAAATCCTGAACGCTCTTATATATCGGGCAACAAGAGAGCTAACTAGGTTCATGATCCATAAGCGAAAAACGGGTCATAAGTTTTGGGCTTGAGCCCACACAAAGCTCAATCATCGGATCGTTACCCAGAACCAAATTTGAGCCACAACAGCACATAATGTAATATAATAAAATGAAATAATTAAATATTTTTTAGGTGTATGTTAAACCAAAAGTGACACATATACATGCCTATGTTCGAACAATATATGTCGAATAAGAGTAAGGTACTTCACCTACTTTGAAGATTCGAACGTAACATAACTATACAAAGGACCGGGATATTCTCTCAAGGATGGAACGAAAAATCTTCTACACATGCAAAGTGTTATTCAGCTTAAATGTTAAAAACTTCAAACTACTTGAATTGTTTATAGTTCTTGTATACATACATATAGATAAGGGTTAGAGAGATACCTGTAGGATTGCTTTAGTGTCGTTTTGAGTGAGATTGATCTCTAGTGTGCCTTCTCTCTGTAGACGGAGCAAAGTCCCCATAAAGCATTCCCTATCAGGCTGATCATACTTGCCTTGTGAATTTCTATGTTCTTCAATCACCTGGTCTAGGAATTCATCAAAACCTTCAAAAGTCTCCTTCATTCTTTTAGCCAAGCCAGTAAGAACATCCATCCATCCTAGAGAAGGGAAAGTGTCTCGGAAGCAGAAAGACCCTACGAGCTGCATTGATGTCTTTGACAACTCTCCGAAGCTTCTCTTGCCGTCTTCTAGTCCTTGCTCATACTTCCTACCAAGAACACATCTTGAAATGATGTTGCTCGTGATCTTAACCATCAAATCTCCAATATTGACTGTAGCTCTATCAATACTGGCACTAGTTATCTTCTCAATCATTTCTCTCACTTCTTCCTCCCTAACAAATTTAAAAGAGTGGACTTTGTTGAGGATCCAAAACTCGGAAACACACACCTTTCTCACTATTCTCCAATACTCACCATGTGGGGAAAACCCAATGTCTTTGCTTCCATAAAAGAAAGTATCAGCAGCCCATGATTTGGACCTATTTAGAAAAACTGTGTCTTGGGTTTTCATGATCTCTTTGGCCATCTCAGGAGACGTGACCACGAGGGTCGGAACATGGCCTAACTGTAACAACATTAAGGGACCATACTCGGTTGCTAGGGCTCGGAGAGACCGGTGAGGTAGTGTCCCTAGCCGGTGGAGGTGGCCGATTATAGGTAGCTTGGGAGGAGAAGGGGGTAAGTTGAGTTTGGTTCTGCCGCTATTAAGTTTAAGCAGAAAGAGGAGAGGAAAGAGGAGGAGAAGGGAGTAAACAAAGAGAGTGGTGAGTGGTGTTGTTTTGTTTAGCTCTTGGCACCATTGCTGCAACAATTGTACAAGAGCCATTGTCTATCTTGTTTTAACTTGAAATCAACCAAAATACATCTCTCCAATTTATAGAATTCTCCTATTGCTGTTTGTTGAACGAGTCCAAAAATATTGTGTTGATTGTGAACATATATTATTTTAAAAAAGAAAATCTTTCAAAAAGCAGGGTAGATCTCTAATAATAAGAATGAAATAAAAATGTGGATGGTGTGGTGAATTAGCAAACTATTTAATGCATATAGGGGGCATATCATTTTATTTCCCTTCCACTTGTGGGTGATATCAGATTATCTTAAATTTGTGTTAATGTGAATTTTCGTCGTTATAACGTCACTTTAGTAGTATGCAATTTTTAAAAATATATATATATTAAGTTTCTATTTTTTAAACAATTTAAAATGAAAATCATTTTAAAGAAAATCTAAATTTTCTTTTAATTTAAGGTTTTTTTTAGGGGTATTGTGTCAGACATTGAAAGTGGAGGAGATTTTATACAATTTGTCCAAATTTTTATTAAAAGAAATTTTTGTCATTATAACATCACTTAAAGGGGGTGAAACCGTGAAAGTCACCACTTTTTAGCCTAAATTTTATAAAGCTAACTAATGTTAGAGATTGTTGTGATAACTGGATGTTTTAAATTTTAATTTATAATTTTATTATTATTATTGTTATTATTTTTGAGTTTATTTTAGTTGTGGTTGTTATTATATATATATATATATATATATATATAGTATGTTGAAGGATGGGGCCAGCCGTGGGAAAAGGGAGAAGGGAAAGATTTAGTTGTAATGTTAATTTTGGGTCCCACTTGTATGACATTGTATGGGTCTTTGATTTGGTTTTTGATTTTTTATACATAATATATATCTTGTCAAAATGCTAATGCAGCTGGTTCCGAAATGTGGAATAGGGAAAGGAAAAGTGGAAAAAAGAAATAATGAATTAGTCATTGGCGCGGGTTCCACAGGAGTAATGGGTTGGTTTGTGTTTTTTTGGTTTCATTTATTTATATATATATATATATATATATATATATATATATAATATATATATGTTATTTATTGGAGGGTTAAATGCAAAAAAACTCCATGAACTATTGGCAAATTTGCAACTAACCCTCCTGAACTACCAAAATTGTAAAAAAAAACCCCTAGACTATACAATTTTGTTGCCGATCACTCCATCCGGCCACCGGTCGTCCAAAAATGGGCGCGTGAGAATTACGCGATAGACAAACTAAATTTTTTGGACAATAATGCCCTTCCAAATATGAAAATACCAAATTGTCCTTCTGTGCGGATGATTTGGGTATGAATTTGTTCCTCTTTTTCCGTTCACATTTTTTCACGATTCCTTCTCCAATTGCCGAAATCAACAACTTTCTCCAATTTGATTTTCTTAATCTGTTCAATCACCATCAAAACAAACAAATATATATATATATATATATATATATATATATATATATATAAACACATATATATATAAACAGTAGGAGATGGATCCGTATGAATCAACAACCTTCTCCAATCTGATTTTCACGATCCTGATTGCAGAAGTGGGGAAAGTCGTGTGTGAAGGTGATGGTGGTGTTGTGGCGACGGCGGGGGCTGTGGTCGGAGGAGGAGATGGATCTAGTGGAGGCGGCAATGGTGTTATGGTAGCGGCAGCTGTGGTCGGAGAAGAAAACGCGGATCACCATGGACGGCGACGATTCCCGGCCAACTGCCACAAATTCCCCGCCGCTGCTGCTGACGACGACTTCATTGTCGAACACTGTCGCCACTTCAGCTGCAGTTCATCCACAGGTCGATTCAATCCATCATCCACAGGCCGATTCAATCCATCATCGCTGCAACCACTTTAGCTCGTCGCCGTCGCCAAATCGGAACCAAGTTCTGGGAGGTGGTGTGGGCAAAGTACAGGATCGATTCTGGCCGATCACGTGGTGTGTGCAGAGCACATGATGTGGATAGCTTCTTATCCGGACCATACGACCAGGTTTTCCTCCCCGACAACTTCGTCTTTGGCTAGTCCGGTGCTGGCAACAACTGGGCTGAGCTTATCGAATCCGGCCGAGCTCAACAACTAAACTGTACAAACCGGGATTCTCTCGCCACAGCCGCCGGATCCGTATCACCGGTTCACTGCCGTCGTTCATCTAAAGCGTCCTTAAGAAATATTCTGCTCGGCGGCATATGAAGTATCTTAGTTGTGTTAAAATGTTTTGGCCAAAAAAAAAAAAAAAAAAAAAAAAAAAAAGAGAAGAAGAAGTAAGTAAGAAGGGTATAAACTGACGTAGTGTATTACAAGGGCAATCTGGTCTTTCAAATTTTTCGGCATCAGAAGCTAACGTCATGGGGTAAATTGCAACAAAATCATAGTTTAGGGGGGTTTTTTGTAGTTCATGGGGGTTTGTTGCAAAACTCTAATAGTCTAGGGGGTTTTTTTGCATTTAACCCTTTATTGGAAGGTGATAAGGTAGGAGATAAGAAAGAGAAGGTGTGGAGGAGATGCGAACAGGTGGCCGAAGTGGGAAGAGAGAGAAAGGATGTGTGATGATGGTAATGTATACTTGCGGGGCCCACTGAAGATTTGCTGGGCCAAATTTCTTTGTGGTTTGATTTTCTTCGCGTGGGTGGTCTATTTAGAGTAAAGTTTTGGTTTTGTCGGGTGATGTAAATGTGATGGTGAGCTGTTGGTGGTAGCAGTGGTGTGTTGGTACAATTTACCTATATAATTGGGTGCTTGTGACTTTGTGTGTGTGCAAAACTAGAACGAAAAATTAGAGATACAGAGAGAGTTGCAGATAGAAAGACGAGAGTTTGAGAAAAGAAAGAAAAAAATTAGAGAAGATTGAGAGAGTGAGTTTGAAAGACAGTGAGAGGCCGAGAGTTGCAGAGGAGGCCGGACCGGAGGTTTGAAGCTTTGATGATCCAGTGAGAAAAAAATTCTTTTTCAGAGTAGGGTTCTCTATACCTTGAATGACATAGAGTGGTTTTGTTTCAATAGTTTTGATTAAATGTTTTTATTAAATACATATGTATTTTGTTTATATACTCGCATAGATATGTATATTTTGTGAAGCTGTTTTGTTAAACCTCCATAAAATTCTTGTTATGGTTTTTCTTACTAAGGCTTTTTGTCTCACCAACCTCTAGATTCAGTTACCGAAGATGAACGGGGATTGCTAGATACGAGCTTAGGGTGAAGAGTCGGCGTTGCAGGATTTATTTATTTATTTGGAGAATTTATTTTGTATATTTGAAGAAATTGACTTTGTATAAAAGAGAGTATTTTTTTTTAGATCCTATGTGTATTTTGATGTATTTGGATTTGAATAAATCGAGGATTTTGTTAGAAAATTCGGAGTCATGACAATTGTTGTAATAATTGGATGGTTGGTAAGGATTTTAGTTCCTTTTGTTTTAAGGGAAATATTGTGAAAAAAATAAAATTTTGAAAGTGAAGGAAGGTTTTATGCAATTTACCTTAATTATTAATTAAAATCATTATATATTCAACGGTAATAATCAATGTGGTGATGATATATAATTATTGTTTTTTTGGACAATTTGTTCTAATTATTAATAAAAATCTATTATAAGCTATTCAATGGTAATAATCAAATCTGGTGATGATATTGTTCTTCTGCTGAATCGAGTCCTGTTGAGTTGGCTCAAATTTATCGGCTTAGTGATAGTGTGATACCTGTGCCGGTGAATGGAGAAAAAAGTGTTATAAAAGGTGTGTTGGATAACTATATGCAATTAATGAGTAGGGCGTGCATGACCAACGCTGAGGAGTCATTAGTCTAATGGTAAAGACTTACTTCACAATTTGCATAATAAGAGTCGGAATTTTGTTAGAGCTACTCTTAAATAAATTTTTAGAAATTTTTATAAATAATTATTCTATATATGTGAAATAGGAAATGTATGCATCCGATGATAAATTATAGAGTATTCACACCTTAAGAAAAAAGAAAAAAATGAAGAAAACGTGCACTGAATGGAAAGAAAGAGTAGTGCAGATTTGCTTCACTAAGGCTAATAAAATAACATAATGAGTGAGGGTTCCGTGTGAATCTTTATGAAAAAGACAAACAATTTTAACATTTTTTTTTTTTTTGGACAAACAAACAGCAATCAATAACCATTCACAAATCTCTTCTTGCCAAATCGACAATATCATGTGGGATAAAAATCAAGACTGAATCCTCAACCACATGGCTTCTAAAAAGCTTTGCCACTGCATGGGCCACCTTGATTAAGACGAACGGAGGCATGTTTGTGAAGCAATAATATGATATCTGAGATGATTGAATCGACCTGAATATGAGCATCCTTAGAATCCAACACCCCATTGCACACCTCTAGCGAATCACACTCAAACCAACAGGAATCAATTTTCATTGCTTTTCGAAGACGCATCGCCTTTGCATTCAAGGCTGGGAATTGACCAAACACGTACAATCACCTTTAACAACTGGCCCTCATGATTTCTATAGACAGCCTCTCCTCCACCCATAGATGATGAGACTGAAAAAACTGCATCTACGTTGCATAATCTGCATTTAATCTCCTCAGTAGAAGGAGGGATCCATTTTGAAAACACCGTTAAAGGAAGAAGATTTCTTTTGGATGGCAGGACGGAGCCAATGAAGGGCTAGGGGTGCCCCCTGGCCATACTCTATAATATATGTAATAATTTTTTTTTATATATATGGAAAAATATTATACAGTGCCCCCTAAATTTTGTAATTTCTAAAATTATCTCTTTATTTTATTTTTTTCTCTTTTACTCTTCAAATTTCTTAAATTTCCTTAATATAAAAAGTCCTTCCTCAATTGAAACTCAACTTTTTACTTTTAGGCTCCATTTGTTTGGACGTAAAACATTTTTCAGAAAATATTTTTATATTTTATGGTGTTTAGTTGTCGTAAAATATTTATGAAAGAAAAAAAAAATTTAAAATTTAACAAAAATAACTTATTGATCAATTTTTGGTAAGTTATTTTACATGCCCCGCCCGATGGACTCGACCTCAACCTCAACTTAGACCTTTGCCAAATACCAACAAAGTAATAATAAAAAAAATACTTTACTTGAAAAAGAAAAATATTTTCCAAAAAGAATATTTTATGTCAAAACAAACGGAGCTTTAAAGCTCTCTCATTTTTTTTTTTCTTTTTCTTTTCTACTTCTTAAAATTCTTTTTTTAAAGTGTATATTTGAATAATTTTCTTCTTTTTCATCTTTTGAATTTTATAATTGTTATATTATTTACATATATATATACTATGGTATAATTTTTTTTTGCACCGTGCCCCGTCACTTTAAATCCTGGCTCCATCATGTTAATGCATCTAAGAATTCCCAAAACTGTGAAGTTGCCAACGAGAAATGCTTCTAGGCTCAATATTTACCTTCTCGAACAAAGTTGCATTTCAGGCTTTCCAAAGTTGTCAACAAAAGCATTAGGTCATCGACGATACCCCTATTAAATAAGTTCCCTCTTAAATTTTTCTTTGGAAATGTTGTCGGAATGCAATAGCAGTTCAAGGGAACTTTGTCTTTTTCGTAACTAAGTGAGCAGGTGGAATATCCCTCAGATTGTTTGGCAAGCATTTTTGTCTCGTATTTTATGCTGCCAATATACTATAAAATAAATAAATAAATAAATAAATAAGCAAAACACCAAAAAAAACTTTGATGTGATTTGAATAATACACATTTGTTGCAAAAAAAGAAGACTGTAAACATATGGGAAAAGGACGCCCGGTGTGGACCAGGATACCCTCCCACGAAGGGGTTTGACTCTGACACCAATGTAACTGGTTAGACGTTTTTCATCTGATTCAAAAACTCAAGGTATTGAATAGTGATGCATACTTATCCTTACATGTCCAAGTCTTTTCCAACCCAAATCCGATGTGAGACAAGAATACTTTTGAAACTATTTAACTAGTACTCCCTCAATTCTAATTTAACTGTTCATCTTTTCTTTTGTATTGTCCCAAAATGTTTGTCCACTAAAAAAGTTCAAACAACGTTTTTCACATTTTGTTTTCATAAAATATCTTGAAGTTTAAAAAAAAATTTATACTTATCATATATATATATATATAAACTTATATATAGAACAACATCAAAAACGTGCATCGGAGAAGATTTGAAGCTGACATGATGTATGAATAAAATCTTTTATCATGTAAAATGATCCGATATGAAATTGAAAGGTAAGAAGAAGGATGGATAAGTAATATTTAAGAAATTAGAGGCTTCACCTCATCTTCATTTTTAATGGAAGGGATTTTCCTGTGGTTTTTTTTTTTGTTTTTTGGGTCCCAAATGGAAGGGATGGATGGGCAATTTTTTTTAAGCTTTGAAGTTTTTATTTTTATTTTTTTTACCCTCATCACATAATCTTATAAAAAGTAAATATTTATAAATAATTGAAGACTAAATTTAGTATTACATATTTATATAGTTTTTTCTTTCTTTTCCTCTTTTGCGCATGAATTCTTCCATCAGCTCAGAAATTTTAAGTACCTTCCTTTCAACCAACCAAGGAGGAAACCAGCCTTCTATCATTCATCCTTCCTCAAAGCTTCCTTCCAACCAAATTTCAACCAAGGCAAGGGGAAAAACCAGCTTCTACCAATTTTGTTGCAATGATAACAATGGAAAACAGTTAGGAACAAAAGTTAAGAATGGATAGACGGGTCTGAAACGGTAAAACCAACACAATAAAATTGCAAATCGGGTTAGTGAAATTGGATAACATCACTTGCTCAATTTGAAGAAACAAAACCAAAAACAGAAAAAACCTATAAACCACTGAATTTCACTTTTGGTTCATTCAATTGAGGATCTGAACTCATGTTCATTAAGAATCAGTCAGAACTACAACAATCTACAATTCATCAATACTGTTTCAGGTTGTTTGCGGAGAAGACGTTTTGTATTTACAGCCGAAAGCCCTCTCCGCTTGTCATGTTTTGGTGGGGCGGGCAACAATCAGACAACTGGGTGCCATGCTCTCTTCTACCATGCCCCGAAATCCATCCCCATGAATTAAAATGGTGACAACTCGTTTATCTCACTGCTCAGGACCTCCTAAGAAGGTCCCTGGTGAAGAAAGGATGTCTGAGGGCTTCACGTGCCGTCATCCTTTCCGAGGGGTCGTACCTAAGAAGTCCTTGCAACAGATGTATGAGATCTCCGGCTGAGTGGTCTACGTGCTGCATTATGAGGTTCTGCCATAAAAACAAAATGTCGCATGCATTTAGCTAAGCAAAATCTTCGGGCAAGGCCTAAGTATTCTTATTTTGAAGTTCATATTTAAATACTGAATGCGTTAACATTTATAAACCTGGAGGCGAGGTAGCTTAAGAACAGCTTTGATACTTTCTCTAGAGCTGGCACCTTCTGGCCAATCCAATTTACCCTTCCTGACATACTTCTCTGAGTGGCGGCTGCAAGAGACAGACAAATTATTCGAAGGTGTCACTAGTTTGAAAATGAGAGGAATAAAAGATCTGAGAGATGGTTCTCTATAAAATCACTCACTCTGCTCTCTTCAACATGTGCTGCGGCAATGGACCAAGAACTCTCTCCATCATGGCAAGATGCTCCAAATTCTCATGTGTTTGAAACAGCGCTTCTCCCTGTTGCAAAGTGTGTTTGGTATAAATAATCTAAACTATGGTAGACAACACATATGACTCACACCATCACTAATAAACATACCGAGCATAACTCCACCAGGATACAACCAGCACTCCATACATCACAGGGGTAACTCCATCCGAGCCCTATACAACCATGAATCAAAAATAAGTTTGTACGCTCCCTTTACTGTCTTATCATAGAAAATGACTGACAGACGAAAAATTGAAGACCTACCGAGAATGACCTCAGGTGCACGGTAATGTCGTGTTGATACAATGTAGCTCTGATCCTGGCGGTCATAAGTTGTGCTACCAAAATCAATGACCTTGATGGCACTTGATTTAGGCACTCTCTTAAAGTAAGAACTATCCTTTGGTGATCGTGATGACACCTAATATAGATACACAAAGACAATGAGATCCCAACTCAATTTAACATGAAGAAAAGAAGTCTCTAACAAAAACTCAGGGTCAACTATATAATCGATTATTTCTTAAATCTAAGGTCGGTTTCGTTCTCCCTCTATCCTACTAAAATATTTAAAAACAAACCTTATTTATATCTTACCTTGTAATCTGGAACTTTAACATACTCCGGAGACACTAGGAGAATATTCTCCGGCTTCAAATCAGTATGAATCAGGCGGAGATCATGCATGACTGCAATTATTTTTTAAACCAACAAAGGTTCACTCAGGTTAGTCGGGTAAACAAGAATCAAACTAAATCATAAAATTCAGATGCTTATGTAATAAGTGGTAAATATAATTAAAAGTCAAATAATAGCCTAGTTTGAAATTTTGAATGTTGAAAACAATAGATTTCTATAAACAGCCTAAGGGTATTAATTAGTAAATATTATCTCTAATGAAAAATAAAAATAAAAACTTGTGACTAAAAAGTAGCAGCCAAAAAATGAATAAAAAGAAATTAGCATCAAGTAATTACTACACACATGCAACACATTCCAACAGTTGTCTGCCAATCTCGCGGACAAGGTCAATGGGAAATGAGCGGTAACTGTTTTTCCGTAGAAAATCGTATAAGCTAGGTCCAAGCTTCTCAAAGACCTGTTGAAACCATTTGAATTCATCCAAAAGTCTTAACCCCCAAAAAATTTGTTATATTGGGGAAATCAATCCGCCAAATTAATATACTTACAATACAGATATGGTTACGATAGTCAAACCAGTTCCTTATTTGCACACAACTGCAAGAATAAACTCATTCAACAATTGACACAAATTTGAGAAAACCCACTAGAGCCTCAACAATAGAAGTATAAAGAGTTGAAAAGGGAAATTGCACTCACCGACTGCCACCTTTATCATGTTTACCAAGCTGTTGAAGCACATCAACTTCTATCATAGCCGCTTCTCGGTATTTCTTAATTCCTCGAACAATTTTAATGGCAACCATTTCTTTTCTTTCCCTGTCCCAGCATTCTAAAACCTGACCAAAGGTGCCTGCATGAAAAGATGAATCAAGTTAGCAAAGATATCATACAAATGTGCCACCAGAAAAGGATAAAAGCTAACAAATATTCTATTACAACACACCTTCACCCATCTTGCTGTGAATCTTATCTGCAAGTATTGAAACAAAGCAAAAAGACTAATCAGAATTAAAAAACCATGACAGAAACAAATATAAGATACAAAATAAACAGAATCAAAATTGTGAACCCCCTAGAGCATAAAGAGCTTCAGGATAGTTTTCTTTTAATAAAAAAAAGATCCCCAAATGCTTAAAAAGTTTTATGGATGACACCAGAACATCCAAGAGAAATAGTATATATAACAAAGGTGGTGTGGTATCTCCTCTACCTCCCAAAGTGGATGGTGAAGGTTCATGTCCCCAATGGGACAAAGTGGGTGTGTGGGTCCGGTGTGTGTTTCTTGCCCATGACTAAAAAAAATAATTAAAAAAAAAAAAAGATATAACGTATACAAATAAATCATAACAAAAAATCATGGATAATTAATATTGTCATCAAGGCAAAAAAATGAACATTAAACATCTTTGATGGTGGTAAAGTGTAGTTACAGCGAGAAGTTAAATTTTCTCCAACCGCAAACATGTAATGCCCATCTTTGTCATCTCCTCTCCATGGGGGAGAACCATTTCGAGCCACTCCCTTAACAAAAAGAGACGAACTAGTATGTTCTGAGGGTGCCCTTGATGCAAAGCTTGTCATATTCCCAACATCTTGTCCAAAAAACATTCCTAGCTGAGCCTACACACAGGTATCCATTTATGTTCCACCCAAAAATAAGATTAATTTTTTACCTCCTTGATACCGTGTACCCTTTAAAGCACAGTTCAGCAGCTATTAACACCACATAGAAAAAATAACCAGAGGGAAGAAAAAATCCAAAAAAAAGGTTCAACTCAGGCATCAGATAGATGTTTCACCTTTCAACACAGAGAGGTGTCAACAACCAAAACCACATCTTTCAGTTACCATTACACGATTGTGAACTAAAAATCAAGTGAACAAAAAAAACCTTGGAAGACAAAAACCAAAAATGGTCTGTCTCTCACATTTTAAAGTCAACAAATTCTAGATTATTTACTGTTTGATGCATAAAAAGAACAAATAGATCAAACTTTAAAAGGAACTCATAAAACGAATTCTTTGAAATTCTTGAACCCAAGATCACGCATACAAAATTAAACCTAATCGTGCTAAGTGCTAAAAATTTAGTGCCATGATAAGAACTCTCTCGAGGTCCATGATTTCCATCATAAAATAGATTATTAAAAATTCTCCAGAAATGAAATTTTTATTGTATCCCATTTGAAATATTATATTACAAGCCCTTGAGAAAATCATAGAAATTAATTTCTCATAGAAATTACTTTTAATCAAAATCAACATATACAGATGGTGTAAAAGCTAATTTCAGGTCAACAAAGGCTATTTTCCCCTAAACTAACCAAAAAATTATGTAACAATTTATAAATCTATTCATGCTGAGATGCTAGTCAATCTTGCTGGATTCAAAAGGAAATTATTTTTTAAAAAAACTATCGTAGTTACCCGTTTCCTTCAAAAACAAATAGATCCGAATTTATAAACCCAAATTCCTTCAGAATACCTATTTACCAATTATACAGACAATTTAAAAATATCTAGGGAATAATCCCTAAAAAAAAAAAAAAAAAAAATCCAGATCTCACGCAATAGCAAGCTAAAATATTAGGTATAATTTTTATTCAAAAAAAAAAAAAAAAATCATACAAGAATCGATAAACGATTAGATCTAATGAAAAATATTACTCCACTCATCAAGCATAGAATGATTAGATATAAAAAGGTCAAACTTTATCCATACCTGATCTGGGAACATATGTATCTAATTTTGACCAGATCTAGCAAAACAGAAACGAAAAAAAAACATAAATCTAAATAAATTCGAGACATTTAGCACCAGATCTGATACCTTAGGGTCCTGAGGAACAACGTCCCAACCCAAACGCGCCCTTTTCCTGGGTCGCCGATCCATGTGCGTATGGGGAAACTCGGTAACACGTTCCATCTCCATGATCGAACACAAAAACACAGAAAGATTTTAGAGAGATGGTCTTGAAAACGAGAGAGAGGTTATAGAGAGATCGTGACGAGAAGAAGATGATCGAAGGATGAATGAGATCTATGCGAAACCCTAACCCTAATCCCAACCTAATATGGACGTAACATAGCGTGATGCCGGTGTAGAAGCAATCGTGACCGTCCACGTTTCCTGTTTCTAGCCCTTGGTTTGACCGATCCTTAGCATGGATAGTCTTGTCGTTTGGTGGGCTTAACTATAGTTAGATTTGCGGTCTGATTTTAACCGTGGTCGAGTTAGGTCCTTAACCCTTTAAACGAGGATAAGAGTTATTCGAACGCGCTGATGGGCATGGTGGGACCACCTCCAAGAAACTTTTCAATAATTCTGGGGTAGGTGAGTCTGGATTTTTATTTTTTTTTCAATTATAAAATTAAATTCAATCCAATTCGATTCGGTGGGAGCTTTAATTCTATTCAATTTAATTAGTGAAATATTGAATTAGTTTTACTAATTAAGCTTTTATGATCCGTCCAATAAATTTTTTTAAAAAAAGTTAGGGAGAAGTGCAAAAAAAACACTCTCCTCTATTTGTAAAAGTGCACTAATAATCTTTGTACAAACACCTTTCAAACACAAATCTGAAAAAAAAAAGTAATGTTGTAATATTCGTTTTACCTTTTTTTAATTTTGAAAATGCTTAAAGACGTATATATACTAGTAATCTCATAATATAAAATTATTATATACACTTTATTTTTTTGTTTAGTTGAAAGAAAATAAGGATATCAAAGGAAGGAATGGTTCAATCCTATACTATGAGATTTGATATAAAATTATAAAAATTTAATATCTTTTCTAAATTTTTGGGAAGGTTAAAAATAAAAATTACTAATTATTCATTCTTAACCTCTCCTCTTTCCTCCAAATTTGGGGGATTGAAAAAATATAAAATAAGGATGAATATTTTATCTTTCTTACTTCCTCCCTGTTTTTTCTTCTTTTCAACCAAATACAGAAAAACTCTTTTATTCACGTTTTCATCCGTGCTTCTTCAATCATTTCCTTCAACCAAACGTAGCATTAGTGTCCTCTCTCACTGTACTTCCGCTAGCATTGAACTATCATAGAGCCTCCAGCATCATCCAACGTGAATTCATAGAGCCCGCTTATCAAATCACCATAAGTGATGCTATCAATTGCATTATCATGTTACCCATCCTCTGAAACAACTACCTCATACACAAGATGGCATTGCCATCTCTACAGTGTCCATTGAACATTTCAACAGCATTACCAACAAATGCAATTTAGGGCCCTACTAGTCAGAGTCAAGCCCGGGTTTTACATCTCAATAACCCTATGAACAACCTGCTTCAGCCTCCCAATTTTAGCAAAACTCATCACCATACATTGCATTACTTTATGGGCTCTCTCCAAATTGCCATTTTCAATCAAATACATTGCCAAAACAATATAAAACCTCTTGAAATACCTGAATTTCACAGATACTATCGACAGGTTTAGCTTGGGAGGTGTTGATTGACGTATTTAGATTTCTGAATTTTTATGCTGTTGGTTCTTCTATACTTTGTACAAAAATAATAAAAACTTACAAATACTTAATAAAAACATTATAGGATAAGATGGTTGAACCACTCTCAAGTTAGATTTCGAAGTCAAAGTCAAAACCAAAATTTATGGGATGAAAAAAAATATTTTAAAACAATTTTTTAAATTTTTTAATAATGAAATTAAATAAAACAAATAAAATTAAAATTAAACAATTTTTAATCAAATAATGAAAAAAGTCAAGAGGGATAAGAATCCACAACCACGGATCCATATAAACAAATTTCTTTTGTTCTTGTCAATTTTCCTCTTATAAGTAATTCATTTCATCAATCCAATTACAACTTGGAAAAATAAAGGAAAATATAGAGTTAAACATCACTTACTTATACATATAAGAGAACATTTTTTTATTTAATATGATATATCTTTAGTAAATAGAAGTAGGTATTCTCCGAATTATCATTAATTGGCAAACACGAAGAACCCTCATTCTAATTTTTTTTTTTTTAACACGAAAGAATAAAAGAAATGTTCTAAAGAGAAAAATTAAAACATGACATGAAAAAATTTCAATTACATTTAAGCCATTGTGGCTTTATCTTTCCCTCGATAAGAGGTGTTCATGCTAGCATATTAACAAGAAAATAAACCACGAAAATATTGTAACTCTTCATTGATGAGAAAAAGATATTACAAAATTATGCAAGACAATGTAAAATCTAAAACTCTCTATTTTGTAACTCAACTTCTTCTACATACGTCCCTATTTGTAAAGTTTAGATTGGAGGGAAAAGAAAAGAATTTGAAAATTAAAATACAGATAGAAAATAAAAAATACATAGAATCTTCCAACTTTCCAATTTGAAATGATATTTGCTGATTTGATGGAGGGCATGCATAAAAATAAAATAAGTGCACTTATACAGTCAAGTTTTGAACTCGAGACCTCTATAAAAACAGATTGAGCACTGGACCATCCCTCCTAAATGGTTTTTGGGTTCATCTCTAAAAATCAATAAACTCTTATCCTTTTGCAACCATAAATTTTCACATTTTTGCCATTTTTTCTTTCTTTTCTTCTCATTCCGAAATCAACCCCTATAAAACATGAAAAGTAGGGATAACTGACAAGAACATTTATTTAATTAAAAAGATTTATTAAACATTTATTATTGAGTAAAAAATAACAAAATTTTGGGCACTTATCATTGATTTACACTGGAGTAGTACCTGGATAGGTGACCCTTGAGAAATCTCTGGTCTGGGGGGTCAAAAACAGACAATATTGTGTTTGATTAGAGTGCGAGCTTTTGAATGAGCTTGTAGGTAGGATTGCAAGTTGAGCAGGCCCAACCCAGCTCGGTCCCAACCCAACCTCAACCTAAAGTTGAGTTGGGTTGGGCCAGTCCATGTCAAAAAATCTAGGCTTTGAGAGTAACCCAAGACCGAATGTGTTCGCTACCGTTCAACCTTCCCTTTTTTTATTTGTGAATTTAAAAGTCCAAGTCTCAAAAAAATTGGGCTGGTGCGGGTTGGGCTAAGTTGGCCCGCCCAAGTTGCACCCTACTGGTAGGGTTGTTTGGTAGTTTTATCATTGGAGACTACATTCCATGGCTTGGATGGTTGGATCATTAAGCCCTGTGGATTCTAAAGTGGACAAAGTTGCCAAAGAGTTCGATGAGTGTCTTGAGGGAAGTAGAAGAGCATATTCATAGAAAGAGAAGCGAGACTAGTAATGGTGGTGATTTGAGTGTTGATGAAGGCGAATAACACGAAGATTTGGTCGATGTTTTGTTAAGGGTGCAAAAGGAAAGCATGGCTGCTGGTGGCTTTTCCATTGGTAGAGATAGCATCAAAGCTCTCATCTTGGTAAGGGTGACATCTCTCTCTTCAACTATGTTAATTATCTTTCTTGTCCATTAGATTTCTCATGTCCATGAGGTTTGCAACTTTCACCCTCGGATTAAATTTGACCGAGTATAAGGATAATTTATCCTAAAGTTAAATAAATGATCAATGAATCATCCCATTTTTAATTTTTAATTTTTAATTTAATTTAATTAATTAATTAATTTATTTTTTCCCCCAAAGTTTAAGCAAACAAGCTTACTATATATTTTTATCCCCACCTAGAATCAAACCATGTATGGCCAATTAAGTTGGTGGTATACATATATACTGACTTTTCATAACTCTTACAATCTCAAGTAGGCCAAAATACAACTTTTTTGGGTGATTGGATACTTATGTATGGATTACAATAGAAAAATTATTAATTTAACCTGTTTTCTATTTCTGTTCTTTTTATATAGGATATCTTTGCTGGTGGAACTGATACTACTTACACAGTCCTAGAGTGGGCAATGACAGAGCTCTTAAGGCACCCTAGAGCAACGAACAAAGTTCAGAATGAGGTAAGACGAATCGCAATGGGAAAACCCTATATAGTAGATGAAGATCTGGAGAAAGTGGACTACTTGAAAGCCGTGATCAAAGAAACTCTCCAGTTACATCCTCCCATCCCACTATTGATTCCGCACGAAACAAGTTAAGATGTGAGAGTAATGGGCTACGACATTGAAGCTGGAACCAGTCATTACAAATGCTTGGGCGACAGGAAGAGACTCCGTGTCTTGGGATGAAGTAGAGGAGTTTAGGCCGGAGAGGTTCTTGAATTCGCCTATAGATTTCGAAGGGCAAGACTTCCATTTGATTCCATTTGGAGCTGGCAGGGAGGGGCTGTCCAGGAATTTCTCTCTCAATGGCAATTAATGAGATTGTGTTGGCCAATCTTGTGCACAAGTTCAATTGGGAAAAGGGAGGATTTGGACATGACTGAATGCACTGGCCTCACAATTCACACGAAATCTCCTCTTGTTGGTGCTGCAACTCCATGTTCTTGCTAGTATTTTGAATTAGATATATTCATTTGTGGTGTTAATTATAATGCTAAACTATATTAATCACCAATCCTATATTTGTGTACGTGTGTCTCCCCATTATATAATTATCAAGTTTGCTAAACAATAAATTTAGTAATATTTCACCTTTAGAAAAAAAATAATAATAATAAAATAAAACTTAGTAATATATAATTATCTTTATTGAAAGGCCTTTCTCCATTTCTTATATGTTTTCTTCTGCTAATATTGTGGAATAAGTATTAATCCCGTGCAAACCATATTGGAGGTATAATATGCAGTTGAGGCGGCCAGCCTTGATTAACAAAAAAGTAAATTAATAAAAATAATTATAATGAACAATTTAATAACATATTATATTTATATTCAAGAAAAAGTTACATCTAAATCAACATATTTCATTCCAAATTATAAATAATGAAGTGCAAAAATCTATAAAATCATTGTGGAGGGAAAAATCTCCCCACCAATTAAAAGCAACCGCGTTGGCAGATGGGTTTTTGCACTATCTTTCTTGGGCTGTCTGGAGTCAAAGAACCAAGGTGACAAGCCCAAAAGAATCATTAATTGTTTCTCAGCCCAATTATAGAACAAGTCAGACCTGTACTTCCAGTCCAGTCCAAGGCC